CGCGAGGGGAAGGGTCCCCCCCCCCCCATAATATCGGCAGGCCCGTGGCGGCCAGATTTATATGCTGGCATACTTGCTGTGCTGTGAGTAAACAGTGTAATTTGCTCCCCTTGTATGTGGCTGATTCCTTGGTTTATTTAAAGCAGAAGTGGAGAATTTCCATGCTTACATTCCGCCAGGAACTGATTTATATTTATGCAAATGTGTTTATTTATATCCTGAAAAGTACTCATGTATAATAATAAAAACCTTTGAACGGCAGAGCTGGAAGGGACCCCAATGGGTAATCGAGTCTAGCTTCTCTCGAAGAGACAGCATGGGAGAATTGAACTCCCAACCTCTGGCTTCGCACCCAGGTTTGTGTGTGTGTGTGTGTGTGCCTTTTGTGGTCCTTCCTCCAAAGCATATGGAACGGGCAAGTCTCTGGACCAAACTCTGGGGCAGGCTTTGCCAGCCACCAGCATCCTTCCTCTTGAACCCAAAGAACTATTGGTTCGAGGCATGCTCGTTGGTTGGAACAAGCTTCGCCCTAATTTCCCTCCTCTCTCTCTCTCTCACTCTTGCACGCTCTGGGGGTTATCCCATTCATAAGAGTTGGCAAAAGTTGCTTTTCATGCCCCTCCCCCGCCCACAAACCCTGCAAGCGGCCTTTTCCATTTTCAGGGCTGGCCAAGAGCAAGACAATGGCTTTTTCTGGGGGTGGCGGGCTTTGTTTTCTGCATCGTGCAGGCAACCTTTTGCACCGGCTGTGGCTCTTTTCGGAAGTCTGGCGTGGGCATCTCTCTCTCTCTCTCTCATCCCATCGGTGCCCTTCCGTAGCATGAGGAGGACACGATGAGCTGGCCGCTCAAGCGTCGCAGCTGGCCATGAGTGGGTGAGCAGAGCAAGCCTCCTGCCGAGGGACTGGTGAGGTATAGCAAGCCTTCGCGGCCAATACATTCTTTCCCTTCATCTCCCGTGGCCGAAGACAGCAGCACCTGCTCCCACTGCGCTTTGGGAAACCATTCCGAGGCCCATGCAAAGGGGGGGGGGCTTTGATGTCTTCTCGAGTGCTGACAAATCCGGGCCGCGTGTTGCAATAAACGCAGCTCGGCGTTGTCTACATTTCCTTGGAAAGCAAGTATTGTACAGATATCTTCGGTGAGGTTGGCGTCCAAGTGGAAATGCAGAAAATTGCAGCCTGGGGTCGCTTTGAATGGGAGCCCAAAGGATTTTTTTTTGGGGGGGGGGAAGAGTTAAAAACTTTTTGGTTTCAAATCTCAGCCTTTAACCCACTACAGCTCACCATTAATGCTAGAGACGGAGACGCGGAGGAAAAACTAGGAAAAGAAAACAGGAGAAAGAGAGACAAGACCATTTGCACATTTTATAGCCTTGGAATTAGCTCAATAAGATGTGAAATGGAACCAAGTACCCAATTCAGGAAAAAAATAAGACTCTCAGAGCCGAGGAATATTTGAGGAAAAACTAGGAAAAGAAAACAGGAGAGAGACAAGACCATTTTTATAGCCTTGGAATTAGCTCAGTAAGATGTGAAATGGGACCAAGTACCCAATTCAGGAAAAAAAAAAGACAGAGCTTAGTATGTTTTACTTGTATAATTGGCATTTCGTCTAGCATTTCATCCCCCAGAGCCGAGGAATATTTAGTATGTTTTACTTGTATAATTGGTATTTCGTCTAGCATTTCATCCCCCCCATGTGCCTGAGGAAGTAGACTTGTCTAGGAAAGCTCACATTAAAATATCACCTTTAAGGTGCTGCCTGTTTTTGTCTTTTTTGTTTTTGTTTTGTTTCTTTGGATTTTGCTTGATAGGCTTGCACAGGCTAACAAGGGCTACCCCTTCTAAAGATTTATTTTTTGGCTCCTTGGCCAGCCCCTCTTAGTCAGCAGAGCCCTTGTGCTGCGCGGGGGGGCGGGAGAAGAGAGGAGGGAATTGCTCTGTCAGCAGATCCCGGGGAATCAGCTGGCGAAGAGGCATCTCTGCCAGGAAAAGGGGGCCCGGGTGCCTCCTCCTCCTCCTCCTCGGCGTCGGGACCGCCAAGCCCTGCTTCTTCTTCTTCGGTTTCATAAATGAGAATTCTGTGCAGCCTCTCCCGCACCGCCGCCGCCGCCACCCCCGGGGCACGAGATCTTGCACTAGAGGGCGCTTGGCCCTCAGCTACTGTACTGGGGGAGAGAGAGAGAGGCGAGAGCTTAAAGGCGGCCAGGTTGGAAGGAGCGCGCAAAGCCTTCCACGCCGTCCTGCGCGTCAGCTCCTCCGTGCGCCTTTTGCACCCGTGCGTGGCACCCACGAGAGAGCCAGCGCATTGGCGCGGGTGGGCGGCTCCTGCTCCTGCCCCCCCGTCCCCGGCTTTCTCCTGCGGCTCCTTGACCAGAGGGGGCTGTGAGCGAATAGGGGGGACGCCGGCCGGCCGGGGAGGAGGTTGGCTGGAGAGCGGAGGAGCTGGGGATCCTTTTCTCTGGGCGTGGAGTCAGTCCTTTGCAGAACCTCGGTGCGCCTTCGGGGGAAAAGCACAGCGCGGCTGGAGAGCCCCCGGCTGCACGCCGCTGGGGAGTGCGGAACCGCCTCTGCTCCGGCGGGGCTGGCTGAGGATCGTGCGGGAATTGGCTCGCCACCACCCTTCTCGGAGTTAGCTTCGCCTTCACAGGCTCCCGCTCCCGGAGGTGGGTAAGAGAGATATATGTATTTTTCCATCCCCAAACCTACGGGATCCGGTGGTGGTTGTTTATGCGGGCATCTCCGGCGCTGCCGTTCACACGTAGCGTTGGGACGGCATCACCCGTAGTTGCGAAACCGTGGGCTAGGGTTTCTCAGGTTCTTGCCCGCGTTCACACGTGGAGGGGCTCGGCCGGGGCTGCGCGCACCCGACCGGCGTGTAGGCAGCCTCAAGCCTGGGGTAGAGGGCGCCTTTCTGTTCCCACGAGCGGGGGGGGGGCGACACGCCACTGAACACCGTGACAAGGATTCCCCCCGAGGAGACCCGTGTGCCCAGGGTTTCTGCTGATGGCCGTTTGCAAGCCACGGGTTCGATCTCGGTTTAGTCGTATCTGGACTTGGGGTGAAGCTGTTGAAACGCGGGGATCGAGGCCCTGTTGGTTGCCAAGGGTTTGTACTACGGGCAGGATCGGCTCCATTCCGACGTGCTGCGACAGCCCGCCTGTTCCTAGAACGCCAGTACAGTACATCCCATTCCCATTGCGGAGGATGCTTCCCCGCTTGGCAAGGCAGAGCTTCCTGTCGTGTTCTGTTTACCCTGCGCTCGACGGCGCGTAACTGAGAACGTGTGAACAGCCTCGCAGGAGAGGGAAAGCTCTGGCGCGGGAACCCGAGCCTGGCGGTCGGTCCTTTCACACGCACCCAGGTAGCAGTTCCGCCTCAGCGGGCGGACCTGGATGGTTGAGCCAGAGCCGGAAACCCGCTCGACGCGTGTCGGTTGGTGCGCACGTGACGTGCCCCTGCGGGGGCGATGCGTGGATGGGGAAGAAGGAGAAGAAGGTCTCTCCCGAAGAGCGGCAAGGGAGCCCGCCCGGCTGCCCCCTCCAGGGAAGCGAGCCTCGGGAGGCAGCT